ATCAAAGTAAAATAGAAGACCAAGGTAAACAAACAGAATTAACCAACTGAGTGAAAATATAGTTAACTCAAAGAACTTTCTACAGTCCAGTAGTGTTAATTGGTTCTTTGTTGCTATGGCCAAAATACCTAACAAAAACAACTTAGGGAAGAAAAATGGTTTCAGAGGTTCAGTCCATGGTTGGCTGAGTCCATGCTCTGGGTCCAAGGTGAGGCAGAGCATCATGGCAGATGGGAGGGAAGGTGAAAGAAAGGAGCATTGCCCCTTCTGGCAACCAGGAAGTGGGGTGGTGTAAAAGGCCACAGGGAAGATGCACCCTTCCAGGGAACTCCTCCAGCTACACCCACCTGCCTCCAGTTTTCACCAATTCATTCCATTCAAAGTGAGACAGACTGACTAGGTCACAGTGCTCACAATCCAATCACTCAACCTCTGGATGTTCCTGCACTAACACAGAGCTTTGGGGGAACACCTCATGTTCAAACCATAACATCTAGTCATCCCAGAGACCTTCACAATAACAAAGTTGGTACCCAGCTTATGATGGTTCAACTCATGATTTTTTGACTTTATATTGGTGCAAAATCATGTCTAGATAGCCATTCTGATTCTTTCAGTATTCAATAAGTTCCATAAGATAGTCAACATTTCAACATTTTATTATAAAATAGATGTGGCATCAGATGATTTTTTTCTCTCTTTTTTTTTTTCGGCACAGGATTGAACCCAGGGGCACTTTACCATTGAGTCACGTTCCCAGCCCTTTTTAATTTTCATTTTGAGACAGGGTCTCACTAAGTTGCTCAGGGCCTCATTGTTGGTATCGGGTGATTTTGTCCAACTGCAAGCCAACCTAAGTTCTTCTGAGCATGTTCAAGGTAAGTGAGGCCAAGCTGTGATGCTCCATAGGGTAGGTGTGTTCAGTGCATTTTGACCCGATGTCACCCCATCACAAGTTGAGAAGCATCTATATGATGTCCATCCTCACATTGTTGTTGCCATCACCATGCCCAGGACTCCTTTGGCACTTCTCTAGGACAGGCACTGTTTTAAGCACTTTGCATACATTAGCTAGTTTAATCCTTCTAATGCCATTGGAAGGCCCAATTGCAATTATGCCCCTGTTACAGGTGAGGAAACTGGCACAGAGAGGCTAAGTACTCACCCACGTCCACAAAGCCAGGAAATGGCAGAGTTGAGATCTGAACTCAGCCAACCCTGAGTTCCCAGTTTGTGCTTCTAACCACCCCATGAAACTTTTTCTCATTAAAAATAAAACAATAATATAAATTTAAAAATTAAAAAGATTAAAAAAGTCTACGAAATAGAAATAACCAGAGAACAAGAAGTTCTTGTGAAAATTAAAAATACATGATTGCTGAAATAAAAAATTTAGTAGAAGTGCTGGAAGATGAGGTCAAAGACACCTCCCAGAGTAGAAAGAAAGAAGAAGGGAGGGGGAGAGAGAGAGAGAGAGAGAGAGAGAGAGAGAGAGAGAGAACAGGAGGGGGGCAGGGTCAGAAAGAAGGAAATTATCAAAGAAATTATCCAAGAATATTATCCAAGGTCAAAGTAAACCATGAGTCTTAATCCCAAAATGGCCCACCGAGTATCTAACACACAGAATGAAAGTGATCTGTTCCTAGCCAAAGGTTGATGACAGTTGAGAGCAGTAGTAATAGATGAAGACATGTAACCCTGATGACTGACCTCAGCTTGAAATGACCATCAGATATCTCAGGTGAGCTCCTATGGCTACCCTAAAACCCCACTTTCCCTGCCCATTCATTTTCCTACTCACCCCCTCTCTTCTTAATCTCCCACAGATGTTCTCTTACTCTCTCTCAGCTGACAAAATGGAACCAAGAGGAGAGGACTTTCCCCTGCCACTTGCCACCATATCGGCCCACTCCCTGAGTCTGTGCCTGGACTTTCTTTTCACCCCCTCTTCCCTCGATCTGTTTCCTCTATTTTCTTCCTCCCTTTATAGAACAAAAACATAATTGTAAGTCTAATGATTTAAAGATACGCTGAAGGTGCAGCGTGCTTTTCTTAAAAAGCAAAGACAATTTCAGAAAATACAAAATGTTTCATAAGAAAATATGGTCCATGTTTGAAGCAAAATAAAGTTTGTCACAAAGCATAATGCTGGAGTATAGAAAAAAAATGCATTCTGCTCAGATCACAGAACATTCTTTCAAGTGGCAAAGGCATTGTGGGGTGGGAATAATAATAATATTCAGCTATTGCTGAAACAATGTAATTCTAACTTACTTCTTGGCTGTGCAGGGAACGCTATTTCTATACGAATATTAATTTGACTACTGTATGGATAACAATGAACTGGATTATGCTGAGGTAACAACCCCAGGTCTCATAGACTTCACACACAAGAGCCGATTTCTGAGTCACCCTCTGTGGGCACGCGAGTCAGTGGGGACTTTGCTGCCCTCATCACTCAGGAGCCTAGGTGTTGGAAACTCTGCCTCCTTGGAGCTGCACCATCTAGAATATTTGGCATCCTGCGCTGCAGTAGCAGGAAGAGAGAGATCAGTAAATCTCATTGGTTTTTCATGGTCTCAACCTGAAATGACTTACAAGATACCTCATATTTCAGTGGCTAGAGCTGGTCAGAGTTCTCTCCCTGTCCAGCAGTAAGGGAGATGGAAAATTCAGGAGAGCAAATGGAATATTTAGTGGGCAGCACTGACCACCATCATTGTTCATTTGGTATTCATCTTCTCGGACACCTTACATGAGAGGTTTTAAACGGTCACCTGGAGCCTGCTTTGTCTATGTATGTATGTGTGTGTGTGTGCGCACACACACACACACACACACACACACACTTAACTCAAATGTCTTTAAGTTGAGCATATTGTTCTGAGTTCACCCCAGTCCTCAGTACTCCCCCGCCATGACTCTGGGTTCAGTTGACTCACATACACTGTCAGCCAAGTCCCTAAGGGCACTTGTGACCATGGCTACATAATGCAGGGAAGACTTCAGGTACACAGTACAAGGTGAATGTGACCCATCTGGATAACAAGAAGTAGAGGAAGTCCAATAGAGTAGAGTAGGGAAACGTAGGGGAAGTGGAAGGAAAAATGGATGGGCTCATATATTCGTTTTATAGATTAGGAAGGCAAAACGTGCTACCTGACATAGATGAAATAAGACATCTATGTTCACAGGCATTCTTTAAAATGATGAATTTAATTAATAGAACTAGAAAATAATAAGTATAAATGTTGAAAGGAGAAAAGCAAATGATGTTAAATGTGGTATAAATATAAATCTTTATATTTTATAGTGAGTAATCAATACATAACATCTGTGGTCAATAAATCAAGAAATGGAGGCATAAATATATTATTTAGTGTAGGGAGGAAACCACCACCAGAAGCCCTCGGAACAGAAAGGACTTAAAGTGGTTCCCTCTGAGCAGTGGAATTAGAGATGGAGAGGGGTAGAGGAGGAGACTGTTGATTTAATTATGAGAATGTCTGCACTATTTGGTTTCTTAAAAAATAATATTCATGCATTGCTTTGATTAAAATATCTTAAAACTCTTAAAAGAGAAATAAATAGGAATTTGCATATGGAGGAGAATAGAAATGATTTTCGAGAGAGGAAGAGGGACAGGGCATGGGTGGCAGGGTGGGAACAGGCACCCAGGAAGCTGTGGGGGAGGTGAGATGCTCCCCACTGGCCAGCTTGTGGCCTTCCAGGGCTACTAGCCCCTAATCCTCAGTTTTACTTGTCATTCCCCTGAGCCTTGTTAACTGTCTGCTGCACACAACTGGCTTCCAGGCTTGATTGGGAAGAGAGCTAGAGAAAGGGACCACATTCCCAGTACAAGGCCCAGAAAGGAAGAAGATGAGAACAGGTAGCAGCAAGAACACAGACTGTGGAGTCTGGAGCTCAGACAGTCATAAGACTCTCAGGAGAACATTAGGTGTCCTGCGGAATACGAGAGAGAAAGCTGGAGTCCATTTCACGTCAGCAGACAGAGTGCCCTTAGCTGACATCTCGGTCCTTCAGTTATCTTATTCAATCCTCAAAGCAATCTTATGAGGTATTCTTCATTAATTCAACAAACATTATTAAATATTTGCATATAACACAGTTCCCTAAGTCTTTATCTCTATTCTCAAGGTGCTTTCCATCTAATGAGGGGGACATTACAATGGAAGGGGGTAAATATTGCACTAAGGTCCTGCGGAAAACATGGAAGAGTATCTGAACTACCTTGGGGATGGGAGAGGGGAGAAGGCTCCCAGAGAAGGACTCTCAGGCTGCCTTGAAACATCAGAAAGGGTTTGCAGATAGAAGGGGTGGGGACAAGGGCATTCTGGGCAGGGACAACAGGGTGTGGGAAAGCACTCAGGGAGGAAGCCATATGACTCCCATAGGCATCTCCAGAGGATGTGTCAAGGAGGGCAGGAGACGGAGCCGGGATATGGGGGACTAGAGTGCTAGGCAGAGCTGCCCATGAGGTACGTGAAGCCCTGTCTGCATAAACAAGGGTTGCTCCAAACAGCCCGTCAACACCCAGTCTCCCGCCATCCTGCAAAGGGAACGATGTGCTGCTCAGTGAGACAGATCCTCAAAGCCAGCCTTCTTCCTGGCATCTGTCCTGAGCCATGCAACCCCAGGACACTCCCTCAGCAGGAGTTCTGAGCATCTTTTATGTATTTGGTCTAACCCATGTAGGATAGAGAATCAGGGAACACCACACAGGAACCAGGACCCACATGGGTCCCCATTCAGATCCCAGTTTGCCCATGAGGTGTCCCACTACTGACGTTAGCTGGAAGGGGTCCAAATTTTGAGCAAGCTGCACCAATGCAGGGGAGCCCCTCAAACATGGGACTTGGGCAGGGATCCTGATTTCTTGAGTGCAAGTGTGGTGCTGGTGTTAAGTTTATCTTGTAAGCTGTTGAGAGCAATTGCAGGATTGTAACCGGGAGCGTGATGTGGACTGGTTTGTGTTTCAGAGACTAGCTTCTGGCAACCACTGGGAGGAGGTCAGACTGGACACAGCAATGCTGGGAGGAGGCTGCTGAGTACTATCAAGAGATGAAGAGACCAGCTCTGCAGTGGCAGCAGGGACAGAAAGGAGCAGGTAGATTTGAGAGATATTACTCTTTTTTTAAATTTTTTATTAGTTCTAATTAGCTATACATGATAACAGAATGCATTTGATTCATTGTACACCTATGGAGCGCAACTTTTCATTTCTCTAGTTGTATATGATGTAATGTTGCACTGCATGTGCAGTCATACATGTACCTAGGGGAATGATGTTCATATCATTCCACCATCGTACCTGCCCCCTGCCCCCTCCCCTTCTCTCCCTCCCCATACTTTTAACATCTCTATGATGGGTCCATGCAATGTGGTGTTGGTTGGAGAGGAAGGGGGAGCCTAGAATAATTTTCACATTTTTGGTTTAGATGGTTGGATGAATAGGCATATCGTTCACCCAGATCCAGTATACCAGAGCATCAGCTTTTGGAGTGAGGCAGGGGGAGAAGGAGGGGCCGTGTTCAGGCCATGTTGTGTTTGAAGAAGCAGTGACTTAAGTATTGGTGTCAAACGACGGATGGTCGGATGTATGGAAGCATTGTAGACAGAATGTACTTGAGCGAATTAGCATTTTTCACCACTACCCTGTACTAAGCAATTACCTGACTTTCCCAATTCTTTAAATAAAAAGAAGATAAGAGCATAACTTTGGTGACTTTATAATGCAGGGCTAAATATATATCAGATGTTCATTACATGATGAAGAAGATAAAGAAGAAAAAGAAAGACATGTTTAGATGTCATTAGAGAAGTGAGACCAGAAATGTGGATTTGGAAATTTTAGAAGATGTAGTTGGAACAGAGATGTACGTGATATTACTAAAGGGAAATATAATGAATGAGAAAATCAGAGGTCAGAATTGTTGCTCCTTGGTTTGGAGGATAAATTGCCCAAGATCACTTTGTTGGAGAGAAATGAAACAAATCCATGCCTATGTGACCACAAAGTCCATATTCTTTCTCTATATCATACTGGCTTTTCACATACCTTTGAAGAAGCAATGGGAAAAGGGAGTGGGGTTCCTGGTCACTATGGGCCAGGGGCAGCAGGCAGATCAGCAAGAGAAAGCCACTGTTTCCAGGGCCCAGCAAGCATATGGAAAGGCCAGTGTGGTGAGCCCAAAGCAAAGGCTACTGCTGATGAGCAGGGACGAGGGCAGAATCTGTGGGGCTGAGAGATCACATAGTTTGGAGTGATGCTATACCTTGGATTACCCTGAGAACAGAACCAGAGGCACAGGAAGTTCATTTGGGAGGGAATTCCAGGAGGTAGGAATGGGGGACTAAAACAAAATGAAGGAAAGAGTAAAAACCAAGATGCAGTTGAGTTGTGGAGGGATGTGGACTGTATTCCACCAGGGTCTTCTGAGAAGCATACTTAATTCCCAGAATTGCCCACCAGAGAGTCAGCTGAGTAGACAACTTGCCTATCTCTTTCATGTTCCTGTTGGCTAAAGTTTTCCCCTAAATGTTATCTTCTCCACCCTTTGGTAGTGCTTCTATGTATTTGAGGAGTGTGATCTTTTTCTCTGCAATGCTGAAGGCCCTGGGCAGAAAGTAAAAGACCCACAGTATGATCACGGCCCTGCTGCTCTTGGTGAGAGGAAAGTAGAAGTCTGCATGGAACTCCCCATCCTTCGCGGGGGTGGTTAAAATCAATCTGTGGGCAGGGGCACCAGAGGTTGGGCATGTAGACCACCTTTGCCTGTCTCATATTCCCTTGAGGTCAGCCCATTTTGTCATCAAATTTGGTCAGCCACCATGTCTAGAAAAGATGATTCAGAGCAGTTAGTGGAGCCAGGCTTAGTCCCCACTGCTGTGGCCAAACCTAAGGCTGCGACTGACATTCATCACCTTCCACAACCATGACACACATTATGGAGTCCCCTCATGCTCAGTCACCACTTCAGCCTGGTTCAGTTGTTTGCTTCTCAGGGTGTCCCAGGTTTTTGGAGCCAACAGATGTGAACTCCTTTCCCTTTCTGCTATGGTTTCTGCATATTCATTTTTGCTTTCAAGCATGGGAGCATCCAGAAGTATCCCGGTGAATTGTCCAAGATGTATCTCTGTCTGCTCCTATTCTACAACAGCATCCTGGTTCCTGATAATCATCACTGTCTGTGTTTTGCCTCCTGGCCTCCCAACAGGAGCGGTCTAATATGACTAGGTGGCACCCAGGAGCTGCAGGTTTGGTGGGACCTTATTGTTCTTAGGTGGAAGTAATCTCTCCCCTCCCTTCTCACTGGCTGGAACGAGGAACCCCAAATCCACAGAGCCTGAACTTGTGGGGACTCAAAGTGCAAATTCTGTTAGAGGGTTTCTGGGGATGAGAGTGAGAGGGACCGTGGTGACTTTTACTCCTCAGTCCCTGAGTCTGTGTATTGGAGCTATCGAGGACACATACCTTCTGTTTAGCAGATGGTTCTGTGCATGTGCAGTATCCTGTACAACAGCACCCCTGCCCGACACGGTGCTGCCCCTAAACTGGTGCTTTAAATAAACCTGTAATGGCCACCCATCATTCTGATTGGCTGGCTACTTCAAGGTGATGTGGTATGTGGTGGTCGTGATCTTGGCAAGTTCATTACTTCTTAATTTTGTCTGGTCCAAGTTGATGGAGCGTGAGCTAAGGGGCTCTAGAATTGAAGGACACCAATATAGAAGAAACAGACATTATTTGGGTGTTTTTCAACAAGGTCAAAAAGCATGAGCCACCGAGTGATTAAATAGCCTACAGACAGATGCATGGTCAAGTCTCTGCTCTCACAGACATCTGACCTGGCTTTAGTTTGGGTGGACTGTATATGACCCTGCTGCATCCTGCGCTTCCCTTTTTATAATGCTTTGATTCTGCTAATTATTTCTTCAAGGTCAGTGTAGCTTCAGCCTGGCAGTAGGTGCTCTCAACTGTTTGACTGACTAACTAAATGAATGAACTGACTTTATCCAAGGGCCATGTCTTAGCCTAAATCTCTTCTCCTCTTCTCTGCTCTGATTCTTTCAGCAATTGTAAAGAAGCCGTCTTTGGGAAGGAGCTTCAGCAAGCCGGATTCAGCCAGCACTGGCAGCCCTCATCTTTCAAGTTCTCCCCCTTTCCCGGCTCCCTGTCACTCTTGTACTCTTGTTCCTCCCAGCTCCTTCTTTCTTTTCTCTCTCTCACTCTCTCTGACCCTTCCGCCCTCCCTCCCTCCAGAGGCCCCAGACTCAACTGCTGGGAAGTCTCTTCAAACAGGATTGGAATTGCTTTAAATATTAGAGGATTAGGGGAAGACAAACAGACCTGGGGAAGGTCTGTGCTTGGGGATTAGGATTAGATCTCCTCTGCTGTCCAAGCATTAGCAGAGGCCACGCTGCCTGCCTCTGGGCTCCGTCCTCTAGAGCAGGGCAGCTATGGGTTATGCCTCTATGCAGCCCACATTCCTGGGTGGATCTCTCCTGGTGCTCTATGTCTGGAAACTTCAGGTGAAGCCCCAGCTAGGCAGCCTCTGTTCCTTCTCATCCCTGGTCCTGTTCTCTAGAGAACCACCACACATCGAGCTACCTGCAATAAACACTTGTCTACCACTGCCTCGAACCTTAGCCAGTGGCTCCAGATAACCACACATAGGCTGAGTACCCTGCTATGAACTAGGTGAGGGTAACAGAAGGAAGAGGAACCCTGTGGCAAGCCAACATGAGATGTGACACAGCATGAGGAGTGTGGGGTACCATGTGCATTTATGGTGTTCACTTTTTTGGGTGGGTTGGGGGTACAGAGGATTAAACTCAGGGGCACTTGACCTCTGAGCCACATCCCCAGCCCTATTTTGTATTTTATTTAGAGACAGGGTCTGACTCAGTTGCTTAGCATCTTGCTGTGGCTGAGGCTAGCTTTGATCTCTCCAACCTCCAGCTTCAGATTCCCAAGCCACTAGAATTATAGGCATGTGCCACTGTGCCCATCGGTGTTCACTATTTGTTGCTGTGACTGAAATACTTGACAGGAAAGACTTAGAGAAGGAATAGGTTTATTTAGGTTCATGGTTTCATAGGTTCAGTCCATGGTCAGTTGACTCCGTTGCTCTGAGCCTAAGGCAAAACAGAAAATCATGGCAGAAGGGCATGATAAAGAAGCTGTGCTTTGCTCCTTGTTACCAGGAAGATGAGAGAGGGAGAAAAAGGGAGAGGGGTGGGGGTGGGGGTGGGGGAGAGCCAGCAAGCCAGTAGCTAGGGACACAATACCATCTCAAGGACATGCCTCTAGTGACCTACTTCCTCTTCTCACACCCCACCCACCTGCCTACAATTCCCACCTTTCAAATTATTAATCCATCAAATGTATTAATCCACTGTAACCTAATAATAGGTTACAGCAGTCATAATGTCATCATTTCACATCCAATAATTAAGAATTCCTGCATTGCATAACATGAGCTTTTGGGGGGAGGTGGGGGTTGGGGAACACCTCATATCAAAACCGTAATATCTTTTTACATAAATAAGCATTCAAATGTATCATGACTTGTGTCCTGAATAAAGTCCCCTACTGGTTATAATTTAATATTTATGAAAGTAGAGTTTATTACTGATTAGGATCTGATTCATATGAAAAAGGGTCAGGATCTTAGACTCTTGGAGTTGGAATAGACCACAGAGGTCTCACATAAGACAGATCTTCCCAATGGTATCCCATGGGTCTTACCCATTCTTTTCTGGAAACATGTGGATGACAGGGAGCAAGTAGATCCATTTTTTTTCCTTTGACTGTCCAATCTGAAATGTTGGAAAATCTTCTCTGAGTTTGAAGTATACCTCCTTGTGGCAGCAGATACATTAGTCTCAATTATATTCCTAAAATTAAGTGTATATGCATATAAATCTCTATTTGTAATCTGGAGTACATAGAGAAGACTTTCTTAAATAGGACATAAAAAGAATCATAAATTGAAAAATTGATATGTGTGATGACATTAAAATTGTGAAAGTGTCCATCCACAAACCCCATTAAAATGTACGATGCAAGTCATTTTCCAGGGTCAAATATTTGAAGCACATACATCTGACGAAGGACTTCAATTCATATGATACCAGCAATTCCTCTGAGCAATGAGAAGAAAGAAAGACAACTTGAAGGAAAAATGGGCAAAAGACTAGATGACATTTTCAAGTGGCCAATAAACATGTGACAAGGTGCTCAACCTCTTTAATAACTAGGTAGGTGCAAATTAAAACCACACTGGAATTTGCTACAATCAAAATTGTTTTAAAATATAATTCTAATACCCAGGCATCAAATTGACAGGAAATAGAAAGTCTGAGGATAGCAGGTATGGAAAAGGATAAGGTGAAAAGTTCAGTTTCATCACTATAGTGGAAGAGCAAACTGAGACAACGTTTATAAAACAGTGTTTAGCGGCATCTGATACATGCAAACTCTATGACGCAGACATTCCTGTCCTGGGTTGATGGCCTGTGGTGCTCGAGGGAAGTAGTCCCCAGCATCACTGTCAGTTTCATGCCCTTGGATTGGAGACAGCCCACATAGTTACCAATACCAGGCTGGATTAATGAAGAATGGTATGGGAGCTCAGTGGCACAATTGATTAGTGCTCTGTACTTATGAATGATGGTGTATTCATCCAAGGGAAATACTATATGCTTACAAAAGTGAACAGGCCATAATCTCAAACAGCAGCATGGATGAATATTAAAAGAACACAATGTCAAGCAAAGCAAATTAATACAGCATACATTTTCATTTACATAAAGTTCAAAGACAGGCAAAAATAAACTGTATTATTTGGTTTATGCATTTAGGTGAAAAACTCTAGACAAAGTTTCAAAAATATTTTCATAGAAGACAGAACAATGGGACTGTGGCCCCCTCTGAGGGCAGGGAGCAGTGTGTGGGTGAGAAGAGTGGGGAGAAAGGGTGCAGGAAGGGGCCGTGTTGTAGATCTCCACCTGGGCGGTAGTTACAGGGATTTCTTTTTACATGATGGGGTAGGCTGTATATTTATTTTTAATACTTTTCTGCTTGTGCATTATACATTAAAATTTCAAAAAATCGCTTTAAAATATAATTCTAATCGTTAAGGCTTTCGGGATCTGATTCTTTTTGTCTATCCTTCTGTCTATGTGTGTGTGTATGTATGTATTATCCATCTATTTAAACAGTGATTGCCACCCTCACCAGGGGCATTTAGAAAATCAACAGTAACAGAGGCGGGGAAACTCCAAATAAGGGCAAGTCCAAGTCCAATTTGTAATTTGTAACGTTCAAATGAGGACAGATGCCATCAATAAAATGAACAAACCATTAAATAATAAACAAACCATTAAATACACAAACCATTAGGATGAGAACAGAAGTGTCTACACATTCATAATTTCTTAATTTCTTATCCTTGATGATAATTAGTCCATTGACAGACATTAGTTGGTGCAAGCTGCAAACAGGTGCCAACGTAGACAAAATCAACTGCAGAGATCCAAGCTGCAGAACGAGGCTGCCAGCACTGGTAGAAGGGTGCCACCTCTTCCTCTTGCCAGATGTGGCCACTGTATTCTCCGAGGCTTCTGCTTGCAGCCTGGGGGAATGAGGTCTAGCTCCCTGCTTCTTGCTCAGGGGTTCTAGCTGGGCCATGGGGCAGACCTCTGGCCTCAATGCAAGAGATACCCTCAGAGACTTCTCAGTCAAGCCTTGTTTAGGGGCAACCAATCATTTCTTCCCTTCTCTTCTAGCTGGATACCCCAGGGAAGAAATAAAGCCTGGGGGAAGAGCTTGGTCTGCCTTGGTCACTTGCAAATGCTAATTAGCAAGGCCCGCTGGGCGCCTCCAGTCCTTTCTCTTCACCGGAGTAGCAAGAGGAATGCAAAGCTCACAGGTGAAGTGCAGCAGCTGACAGCCCCTGGGAATGGGAGCTGAAACACCAGCCTCCTGTCACCCACCCCACACAGGCACTGGCAACAGACACCTGTGTCTAGTCAATCAAAACACCTGTCTACCTGAAGCTTCGCTCCGGGTCTTTATTTACCATTATTACTACATCAGATTATGCCGTTTTCATGATGTGTATAGCCCTCCTGGGGCCAGAGGCTCCCCATGAGTGTGCCTGCAGTCAGATCAAGAGGAAAGTCTATTTGTCCTGCTCTTGGAGGGGCGGGTGACTAAGTTCCTTGACCTTGGCTGGGAGCCTCACCAAGGCACTGCCTCTGAATCACACAGACCAAAGCATAAATAGCAGGTTGGGAAAATTAATTCTGCTTTTTAATGAAACATATAGAGCTTGCTGATGCAAATTTTCAGTTGAGAGGGTGCATCTCAAATGAGAAAAATAAAGTGTCTCTTGGGATTAGAGCCCCTTCTTTAAAGATCCTCTAAGGCAGTCCAATCAGTACAAGCCCAGAGACTCCAATCAAGGCCCACCACACAGCCTCCTTCCTCCAGGTCCACCTCCTCCCTCCCTCCTCCTCCTCTCTCTGCTGTTTCCCACAAAGGGATCTTAGAATCAGGCAGATTCTAGCTCCACAAGTCTCCTGGGATTGGTAGTTGTTCTCAGGTGAGGTGGGATGGGCTAAGTGTCTACCTGCCCACTAGGGGCTAAGAATGCTCAATGACAGGGCTGCCCCAATAGAAGGACCTAGAAATTACCATTAGAGGCTGACTTTGTTCATTCCACCAAAGCAGATTCAGTACCTGTTGTTGGCCAGGGCCACATCTGAATCCCTTAGACTTTAAGAATGTTGCCATCTTCTAACAATTTTCTGATTTCTTCTCAGGGAATTATAGGAGCTGTAGAATAGGAAAATGTCTGATAAACATCAGCTGTGTCTTTTATGACTACGGAGAACCAGCAGAGAACAGTGTTTTGCCTTAGATTACTGGGCTGGTGCTTAGTCAATTAGCACTTGAATCCAAATCTCTGGACTTCAGATTTTATATTCTTTCCCTCACACTCTGGTGGAACAGATGTCTTTGTGTAATCTTGGGAATGTGGGAACGCACAATTACAAAAGCTCCAGCATTCGGCAGTAGGACCACCCAGAGATGTGAAATGACTTGCCCAAGGTCACTCAGTGGGTAGGGCAGGAGAAGATTGGAGTCGTCAGTTTCTGGACTTCAAGCCAATTCCATTTCCATTTGGCCTGTGGCTTATTTGGGCTGGAATTTTCCTTTTGTTCCCTTTTTTCATGTCTCCTTTTTAGATTTTGCCATAACCTTCTCTTCTCACACAGAAGGCTCCAAGCCACACGGTGGGTGAAATAACTACCCATCCAGTAGAAGGACACTCTCATCTCCCTGTCCACCCACCTGGGATTCCTGGCATCGTGACCAGGACAAATGTCTGCTTTGGAGATGGGATCTGGAGATGAGGAATAATAATAAATCAGGAGTTGAACAGGATTGAGCATTGTACACACCTCCCCATCTGCTCTGGTACAGGCTGCTGGATTTGCCTTAGATTAGGTCTCTGTTTCTGATCTGACAACAGATGCCCGAGCCATAAATAACTGTATGCTTTTCCCTTGAACTTTCGCTGCCATCTCCCGATGTCTCGTGTCACATTGCATTCTGGGGAGAGGTGCAGTGGAGCATGCCGCCATCTCCTCGTCCTCGCTCTGTCCCTCTTTCTGAGTGCCACCACCCCAGCAAGTCCCAGGGTGGGTCTCACAAACTGAAGAGCTGCTGGCAGGGGTGTGGGTTTCTGTAGAGGCCAGTGACTAGGGACCCAGGAGTCCTGGCCACCCTCCCTCCTCACTCACCCAGCTCACTTTGACTTCTCTCAGGGAGCCTGAATTTTTTTGATTTGTGTATGGATAGGAATGACCTGTTTGAGGTTGAGGTGAAGGCAGGTCTCTGTCTGGGTATTTGACAGAACAAGGGAGGTAAAAAAGAAGACTTTGCAGGCACTCAGGCAGGTCCCAGAACTCTCAGGACAGCTGCTGTCCTAATGTGACACCGAACCCCAACACAAGAAGTGACAGGACCATGGAAGGAAGCCTCTTCTCCAGCCCTGCAGGTGTTACTAAAGACTCCATTTCTCATCCTTAACGGTACAGAGTACATCTTCCCCTTCCCACCTCCTTTCCCTATTCTAACTGCATTTGGCTCATTTAGAAATCCAGAAACGTTACCCTGGGTACAGACCAGAATGGAACGTTCT